TGATTTTGATTTCATGATAACTTTAGGTTTGTTTGTTTTTGGCAAATTGCTTGTCTAAATTGACTGGAATCGAGCTAATGAAAAATTGATTTTGATTTCATGATAACTTCGGGTTTGTTCGTTTTTGGCGAATTGCTAGCCTAATTTGATTGGAATCGAGGCAATGAAAAGTGGTATTTCATTTCATGATAACCATGGCTTTGTTCGTTTTTGGCGAATTGCTAGTCCAATTCGATTGGAATCGAGCCAATGAAAAGTTGCTTTTGATTTCATGATAACCTTGAATTTGTTCATTTTTGGTGAATTGCTAGTCTAATTCGATTGGAATCGAGCCAAAGAACAGTGGTTTTTCATTTCATGATAACTTCGGGTTTGTTCATTTTTGGCAAATTACTTGTCCAAATCGACTAGAATCGAGCTAATGAAAATTTGATTTTGAATTCATGATAACTTCGGGTTTGTTCTTTTTTGGCGAATTGCTTGTCTAAATCGACTGGAATCGAGTTAATGAAAAATTGATTTTGATTTCATCATAACTTCGGGTTTGTTCGTTTTTGGTGAATTGCTAGTCTAATTTGATTGGAATCAAGCCAATGAAAAGTGGTTTTTTATTTCACGATAACTTCGAGTTTGTTCGTTTTTGGCGAATTGCTAGCCCATTTCGATTGGAATTGAGCCAAAGAACGGTGGTTTTTCATTTCATGATAACTTTGGTTTTGTTCATTTTTGGTGAATTGCTAGTCCAAATCGATTGGAATCAAGCTAATGAAAAGTGATTTTGATATCATGATAACTCCGGGTTTTTCGTTATTGGCGAATTGCTAGTCTAATTCGATTGGAATCCAGCCACTGAAAAGTGGTTTTTCATTTCATGATAACTTTGGGTTTGTTCGGTTTTGGCTAATTGCTAGTCCAATTCGATTGGAATCGAGCCAATGAAAAGTGGCTTTTGATTTCATGATAACTTTGAATTTGTTCATTTTTGGCGAATTGCTAATCTAATTCAATTGGAATCGAGCCAAAGAACAGTGATTTTTCTTGCATGATACTTCGGGTTTGTCATTTTTGGCAAATTGCTTGTCTAAATCGATTGGAATTGAGCTAATGAAAAGTTGATTTTGATTTCATGATAACTTCGGGTTTGTTCATTTTTGACGAATTTCTAGTCTAATTCGATTGGAATCGAGCCAACGAAAAGTGGTTTTACATTTCATGATAACTTTGGGTTTGTTCATTTTTGGCGAATTGCTAGTCCAATTCGATTGGAATGGAGCCAATGAAAAGTGGATTTTGATTTCATGATAACTTTGGGTTTGTTCGTTTTTGGCGAATTGCTAGTCTAATTCAATTGGAATCGAGCCAATAAAAAGTGGTTTTTCATTTCATGATGACATCGGGTTTGTTCATTTTTGACAAACTGCTAGTCTAATTCGATTGGAATCAAGCCAATGAAAAGTGGTTTTTCATTTCATGATAACTTCGGGTTTATTCATTTTTGTTGAATTGCTAGTGCAATTCGATTGAAATCGAGCCAATGAAAAGTGGCTTTTGGTTTCATGATAACTTTGAATTTGTTCATTTTTGGCGAATTGCTAGTCGAATTCGATTGGAATCGAGCCAAAGAACAGTGGTTTTTCATTTCATGATAACTACGGGTTTGTTCAGTTTTACCGAATTGCTTGTCTAAATCGATTGGAATCGAGCTAATGAAAAGTTGATTTTGATTTCATGATAATCTCGGGTTTGTTCGTTTTTGGCAAATTGCTAGTCTAATTCGATTGGAATCGAGCCAATGAAAAGTGGTTTTTTATTTCATGATAACTTTGGGTTTGTTCGTTTTTGGCGAATTGCTAGTCCATTTTGATTGGAATTTAGCCAAAGAACAGTGGTTTTTCATTTCATGATAGCTTCGGGTTTGTTCATTTTTGGTGAATTGCTAGTCTAAATCGATTGGATTCGAGCTAATGAAAAGTGATTTTAATTTCATTATAACTCCGGGTTTGTTCGTTATTGGCAAATTGCTAGTCTAATTCGATTGGAATTAAGCCAATGAAAAGTGGTTTTTCATTCCATCATAACTTCGGGTTTGTTCGTTTTTGGTGAATTGCTAGTCTAATTCGATTGGAATCGAGCCAAAGAATAGTGGTTTTTCATTTCATGATAACTTCGGGTATGTTCATTTTTGGCGAATTGCTTGTCTAAATCGATTGGAATCGAGCTAATGAAAATTTGATTTTGATTTCATGATAACTTTGGGTTTGTTCGTTTTTTACGAATTTCTAGTCTAATTCGATTGGAATCGAGCCAACGAAAAGTGGTTTTACATTTCATGATAACTTTGGGGTTTTTTCGTTTGTGGCGAATTGTTAGTCCAATTTGATTGGAATTGAGCCTATGAAAAGTGGATTTTGATTTCATGATGACTTTGGGTTTGTTCGTTTTTGGCGAATTTCTAGTCTAATTCAATTGGAATCGAGCCAATAAAAAGTGGTTTCTCATTTCATGATAACTTCGGGTTTGTTCGTTTTTAGCAAACTGCTTGTCTAATTCTATTGGAATCGAGCAATGAAAAGGGGTTTTTCATTTCATGATAACTTCGGGTTTGTTCATTTTTGTCAAATTGCTATTCCAATTTGATTGGACCGAGCCAATGGAAAGTGGCTTTTGATTTCATGATAACTTCGGGTTTGTTTGCTTTTGGCGAATTGCTAGTCTAATTCGATTGGAATCGAGCCAAAGAAAAGTGGTTTTTCATTTCATGATAACTTCGGGTTTGTTTGCTTTTGGCGAATTGCTAGTCTAATTCGATTGGAATCGAGCCAAAGAAAAGTGGTTTTTCATTTCATGATAACTTCGGGTTTGTTCTTTTTTGGCGAATTGCTAGTGTAAATCGATTGGAATCGAGCCAATGAAAATTGGCTTTTGATTTCAGGATAACTTTAGGTTTGTTCATTTTTGGCGAATAGCTAGTCTAATTCGATTGGAATCGAGCCAATGAAAAGTAATTTTTAATTTCACGATAACTTCGAATTTGTTCGTTTTTGGTGAATTGCTATTGTAAATTGATTGGAATCGAGCCAATTTAGAGTGGCTTTTGATTTCATGATATCTTCGGGTTTGTTCCTTTTTGGCGACTTGCTAGTCTGATTCGATTGGAATCAAGCCAAAGAAAAGTGGTTTTTCATTTCATGATAACTTCGGGTTTGTTCATTTTTGGCGAATAGCTAGTCTAATTCGATTGGAATCGAGCCAATTTAGAGTGGCTTTTGATTTCATGATAGCTTTGAATTTGTTCATTTTTGGCGAATAGCTAGTCTAATTCGATTGGAATCGAGCCAATTTAGAGTGGCTTTTGATTTCATGATAGCTTTGAATTTGTTCATTTTTGGCGAATAGCTAGTCTAATTCGATTGGAATCGAGCCAATTTAGAGTGGCTTTTGATTTCATGATAGCTTTGAATTTGTTCATTTTTGGCGAATAGCTAGTCTAATTCGATTGGAATCGAGCCAATTTAGAGTGGCTTTTGATTTCATGATAGCTTTGAATTTGTTCATTTTTGGCGAATAGCTAGTCTAATTCGATTGGAATCGAGCCAATTTAGAGTGGCTTTTGATTTCATGATAGCTTTGAATTTGTTCATTTTTGGCGAATAGCTAGTCTAATTCGATTGGAATCGAGCCAATTTAGAGTGGCTTTTGATTTCATGATAGCTTTGAATTTGTTCATTTTTGGCGAATAGCTAGTCTAATTCGATTGGAATCGAGCCAATTTAGAGTGGCTTTTGATTTCATGATATCTTCGGGTGTGTTCCTTTTTGGCGACTTGCTAGTCTGATTCGATTGGAATCAAGCCAAAGAAAAGTGGTTTTTCATTTCATGATAACTTCGGGTTTGTTCGTCTTTGGCGAATTGCTAGTCCAATTCGATTGGAATCGAGCCAATGAAAAGTTGCTTTTGATTTCATGATAGCTTTGAATTTGTTCATTTTTGGCGAATAGCTAGTCTAATTCGATTGGAATTGAGCCAAAGAAAAGTGGTTTTTCATTTCATGATAACATCGGCTTTGTTCCTTTTTTACGAATTGCTAGTCTAATTCGATTGGAATAGAGCTAAAGAAAGGTGATTTTTCATTTCATGATAACTTCGGGTTTGTTCGTTTTTGGCAAATTGCTAGCCTAATCGATTGGAATCGAGACAGTGAAAAGTGGCTTTTGATTTCATGATATTTTCAGATTCGTTCATTTTAGCGAATTGGTAAACTAATTCAATTGGAATCGAGCCAATGAAAGTGGCTTTTGATTTCATGATATCTTCGGGTTTGTTCGTTTTGGCAAATTGGAAGTCTAGTTCGATTGGAATCGAGCCAATGAAAAGTGGTTTTTCATTTTTGATTATAACTTCGGGTTTGTTTGTTTTTGGCGAATTGCTCGTCTAAATCGATTGGAATCGAGCCAATGAAAAGTGGATTTTGATTTTCATGATAACTTCGGGTTTGTTCGTTTTTGGCGAATTACTAGTCTAATTCAATTGGAATCGAGCTAAGAAAATATAGTTTTACATTTCATGATAACTTCGGCTTTGTTCGTTTTTGGCAAACTGCTAGTCTAATTCGATTGGAATCGAGCAAATGAAAAGTGTTTTTCATTTTGTGATAACTTCGGGTTTGTTCGTTTTCGGCGAATTGCTAGTCCAATTCGATTGGAATTGAGCCAATGAAAAGTGGCATTTGATTTCACGATAACTTCGGGTTTGTTCATTTTCGGCGAATTGCCAATCTAATTCGATTGGAATCGAGCCAACGAAAAGTGGTTTTTCATTTCATGATAACTTCGGGCTTGTTCATTTTTGGTGAATTGCTATTGTAAATCGATTGGAATCGAGCCAATTAAAAGTAGCTTTTGATTCGGGTTTGATCCTTTTTGGCGAATTGCTAGTCTGATTCGATTGGAATCGAGCCAAGGAAGCAAACTAGCTCAAAAAATAGACACATCGATCATTACCTGCAGAACAATAGAATTGATCACATCTGCATATCGTACTGCCAAGTTTAGCGATATACACCTAGTAGGAGCAATTGCGAAGCACCTGATCCTTTTTCTATCAATGTTTCCCAACTTTTCCCTATTCTTCAATGACAACATTGTTAACAATGTTACTACTCCTGCACCAAGTGAATGGCCCGCAAATGTCAACGTATAATCTGGATTCCTTTCAAGAAGCTCCCTAATAATCTCGCATTCTTCTTCAAAAACATATTGAGCTGCCTTCAGCAATCCATTGTGAACATAACCACCATCAAATTTTGTCTGCCCTAGTTTGTTATCAAGTAAGAGTAAAAAATCACTTTCTTTCGCCAAATCAAGTCCCCTAATTGCTACAACTACATCTCTATTCTCATGATCAAGATAGATCATGTAAGGAGATACTCTCCCTTGAGTATCTCCATGATCTTTTTTCGATATCATCCAATCTGGTTCAATTCCATACCCTCCCGGGGGAGCCCACAAAGGGTTTCTAACATCATCTTCATACACCGATAGAATATATCTACAAATCCGGGGTACGGTTATGAATTCACTAGCAGTTGCAAGGCCCCAATTCTCACTTTCGCTGCCAGCAGCGTACAGAAATTTCTTCCACAACCATCGAACACAAGCTAAACAGGACACACATTCAACAACTGGAATACAGCAGGCAACTGACATTTGTGCCTACCATTTAATCATACTAAACAGAATAACCACACAAATTTTCCACAACAAAAATAAAAGTAAAATATTGATTCTTAAATGGGCATTGCTTGTTCAGCAAATCGAATCAATTATATGCAAAAGGGCAGAAATCCAAAGCTAAATACATGGATGAGAAAATAAATTGGGCTTTTTCGAAGTTATATCAAGAGAATTAAAACAACAGTGCGGCTAAAAGACTGTAATAAAGAAGGCAGAAAAATCAAATTTCGATAATAAATTCGGTAAAATATACAAAATTACCCACAATAAAAGAACTATTCACTTGTGAATTGTAGAAGATACAGCTCAACAGTAGCTGATTGTCTTTAACAAATATTCAAGATTAAGTGACAAGAAAAGGAAAGATTTCAGTACATAAACTTAGAAAGAGAAAAATATTCAAGAAGGGACAGAATGTTGAGAAACGGAAGACAAAAATAAAATGTAAGGAGTAGGGGAAATGGTGGAAAGACCTAGAATAGCTGCAACTGCAAGTCAAAGTCATTTGTCTTTTCCGTCCATTTATTGAGAATCTATTGTGTTATGCCCAGATTCCATTAATTCATTCGCATGACAGCGTTTTCCTTGGTTTTCTTCTTGTGGACACGGTAAAAATTTAATAATATTCTTTTTTCTAATTTTATTTTGAGAAATGTCATTTTACACCCCAAAATGTACATCATGGTTAACACTTAATTGTAAAAAAAATAATTGGAGGAAAAATTGTTTTCTTTCAAAATTGTCAAACTTGATGTACACGTTTACATGATTGATTTCCTTTTTATTATCCTAATAATCACCGAACTTATAATTGTGTTTTTTCATTACTCACTGAAATTTAAAATGTGGATAATTAGCACAAAATATCCCTACCTTTCGATGTTTTTGTGGAAAACATCCCTACCTTTCATTTTTTGACGGATTACACCCTTACCTTTACATTTTTTTGCGCAAAACGTCCTTCTGTCAACTCTCCGTTAAAATGTTCCGTTAAATCAAAAAGGTAATTAGCACAAAAGGTCCCTACCTTTCAAAGTTATTGTGCAAAACGTCCTTACCTTTTAATTTTTAACATAATTAGCAGAAAAGGTCCCTACCTTTCAATATTATTGTGCAAAACGTCCCTACCTTTCATTTTTAGCATTTTTACCCCTACATTTCACTTTTCATTGCGCAAAAGGTCATTTTCATCCTTTTTTCAATAAAATGACGATTTTACCCTCATATTAAAATAAAATAAAAAAAAAAGAAAAAAATAATTAATTAATTGCAATCATAGTTCTAAATCTTTCAAAACATTACAGATAAATCATAAATTCTCAACCACCACCATTTTCACAACCTATCAAGCTGCCAACTATAAATCCACATAATACCACCTTTCGGCCACCATGCCCACCGGACTCCACCACCGTAAATGTGGTTGTTTCGGACAGATTGGTGACCAATACTATGGAGGAGGATATTGGGGAGAGTGAGGCGACATTGGTGGTGGTGGAGTCCGATAGGTGTTGTGGTCGAAAAGTGGTGCTAAATGGATCTATAGGTGGTGGCTTGGTAGGGTTGTGAAAGTGGCGGTAGTGGAGAATTTAGGATTTATCTGTAATGTTTTGAAAAATTTAGAACTATGATTGCAATTAATTAATTATTTTTTTCTTTTCTTTTTGTTTTATTTCAATCGGAGGGTAAAATCGTCATTTTATTGAAAAAAATGGATGAAAAGGACCTTTTGCGCAATGAAAGGTGAAATGTAGGGGTAAAAATGCTAAAAATGAAAGGTAGGGACGTTTTGCACAATAATATTGAAAGGTAGGGACCTTTTCTGCTAATTATGCTAAAAAATAAAAGGTAGGGACATTTTGTACTATAACTTTGAAAGGTAGGGACCTTTTGTGATAATTACCTTTTTGATTTAACGGAGCATTTTAACGGAGAGTTGACAGAAGGACGTTTTGCACAAAAAAAGGTAAAGGTAAGGGTGTAATCCGTCAAAAAATGAAAGGTAAGGACGTTTTCCACAAAAATATCGAAAGGTAGGGATGTTTTGTGCTAATTACCCTTAAATTTATCTAAACATTGAACGTTACTCACTGACATAACATATGTTTCAAACCTTTAACAAAATTGGTGACGCGACTAACAAAATACACAATAAGGAATGTAACTTTGGCTCGTCGCCTCGGACGGATCGTGGCTCAGTCGAGGGAAAGCCTGAGGCGACCCCGCTCATGGCTCAAAGGCACTGAGCCCCATTCTGGGGCATCAGCTAGAGCGCGGGCCACAGGCCATTTCGCCCAAGCTGACTAGTTAAGTAAAAAAAATGGCACAAAAAAAATAATTATAAACACGTATATTTACAACTTCATAGCTACCTTTTGAAGGCAGCAAATTTGCTGCCAACAGGCAACAAATTTGTTGGCAACATATTTGCCGCTGGTTAAGACAACTTTTTATAGTTGCCCGTTGAAGTAGCAAATTTGCTGTCGTAAGGTTAACAGGTAGCTAAATAGCTGCCTTAAATCAGAAGCTATGAAGAGAAGGAAAAAAGCAGCTCAACTCGGCTCCGCTATGCTCGATAAGCCCAAGTCAAAATATTAGGTCGAGCTTAGGTTTTTTGGCCGAGCCTTCAAGCTCGAAAAAAGCTTGCGCCATTTTACTTTAGTCGAGCCCAAGCCTTAAGTTTCGGCTCCGCTCGTTGACATGCTTATGCACAAGTGATGCTCTGTTATGTCGTTACCAAATCGTCACATAAGAAAGCATCTTTCATTGCTCACTAAAAATTTAAAAATATCTTTGATTGCTTATGAAACTTTGAGGCGGTTGAGTTTTGGTTATTAAACTTATAAAAATGACGTGGCCGTGTTGTTTACTAAAAAATGCGTACTGCAAGGATAGATATTGCATACAAGTAATAAAGTGGACAAACGATTTCGGGTTGATGATCCTACAATGAATGATTACTCAATTACTCTATAGTTAAATTTAATTTTAATAATGGAACACGGAAGAATTTTAAATTTTTCAAATGATAAAAATAGTTTAAAATTAAAAAAAAAAACTAATGAAAATATCGAACAATAAAATTTTTACAACAAAACACGAAATAAATTTGGAAAGCTCTTGCGTCTGTGATTCATTGTTTTTATAAAATTTTAAATGATTTTCATCATTTGCTAAATTATTATATACTGGGCTACTAACTAAGGAAAATGCTCTGATCCTTGGAAGGAAAATGCCAGCAAATCATGTTGAAGGTGGAGATTATGTCGATGTTAATGATGTTGAGTTTGGAGAAGGAAAAATAAAACTTAAAATCCAGTGGACGGGGCTGGTTTGCAAGGGCAGAGTCAAGAAGGGAGTTAAATGTTTCGTTAGTCATTGAATTTATACCTTTATCGCGTTTTATTCATTGAACTTTAAAATACTTTCAAATGGTCGATGCACTTTAATTGCACTCTGTCAAGTACTCACCATATTTCATTAGTCACTGAACTTTTAAAATACTTCAAAGTGGTCACTAAAATTTAACATATTGCACTCTATCGCTCACTCACTATATTTCATTAGTCGTTAAACTTATATATATATCACGCTTTGCTCTCTTAATTTTAAAATGCTTTCGAGTAATCGTTGAATATCATAATGTTTTTCGAATAAAGTTGAATTTTTATGATATTTGACTTAGATCAACAAAATAAAATAAAATAAATATCGATTAGATAATAATACTTTCAATCTAAGACGAGAATATTGATATTGGTCAAGAAAATAGAATTTCTCCAATCATCAAAGCTATGGTCCAGGAGAAAGAAGAATACTCATTTCAAATTGACATAAATTTTAATTTAAATCATGATCTTTCTTTATGTCAAGAAAATAAAGTGGAGAACTTATTTCTTTATTTTGATTGAGATCTTAAGCCCAACTCAAAAAATGAAAAATTATATCTCTAACAAACTGTGAAATTTTCAATCTATAGTCAATATTTTTAATCAAGACTAACAAAATATAACGTTTAAAATTGTCACAATATAACTCAAGATGAAAGAAGTGTGCTATATTCGTTTATGTCATTCTTTAGTTTTCAATTTTTTAGTAGTTGGATTTAGTAAGAAAAGTTCATTGATCACTCGAGAGAATTTTAAAATTCAGTGAGTAACGTGTAATGGAATTATAAGATCAATGACTAATGAAACATGGTGAATGTGTGATGAAATGCAACATATTAAATTTCAGTAACCACTTTGAAATATTTTTAAAGTTCAGTGACTAATGAAACATGGTGAGTCAATGATGAAGTATAAGATGTTAAATTAGAGTATAACACGTTAAGTTGAAATTTTCAAGTGGATGAATAAGAATCTAGAAACCATAAACTTTATACACGAAAGATGGATCGAAATGCTTATTTTTAGATACCGATTGGGGTTCTCTCCTTCAAAATAATTTTGCCTACTATGACTCGGAATATTGTATAAGAAATTCTCCAGAAATTGCAATTTATTATGAATGCTACATGAAGAATAAAGCCAAATAATGAAATGAAAAGACCTTGGATGTAGAAGATCATACCATGAGGAAAATGTATACTCAATTTAAAGTAAGCAAACAGAATTTCATCGTCGATCTCAAACATACATATAAAATACTCCCTCCAAGCCATACATCACTCGAAAAAGCATTTTAAAGTTCAAAAAGCGTAACATAGGTATAAGTTCAATATCTAATGGAATATTTAACTTGGAGTTAAGGATGATGTAATTTTTTTTTTATTTTTTTTGGTACTATTATTATTATTATATTTATATACAGGAAATTACAAAGTGGGCTTAGGCTTGGACATAATTTCAGTTGGGTTAGTTTTAAACTCAACCTGAAATCGAAATTGACTTGGTCAATTTGCGTAAATATCAATGCAAATCGACCCAATCCAACCGTTGAAACCAAATCAAACCAAATCGGTTTGGTATCGTTAGTCGATTTGAACATTTGTTTAAGTTAAAAAAAAATTAAAATTTGCCTACCTATTTGGGTTAAAAAATCTATTTGCCTATATATATAATTTTTGGCTGGTGTAGTATGTATTAATAATATATATAATGTAAATGGTAAATCAGCAGGGTTAGCAATGTTCGATTCAGGGTTAGTTCGGCCAAAGTCATCACCGAACCACCCATTTTTGACCATACCAAAACCGCATGATTGTTTATAACCACAAATATAAATTATGATATTACAAGTCATTTTAATGTTTACTTCACCGTAAGAGCATATTGATTTATTTAACACAACGAAGCAATTGACCCATTCTTCACACCTATAAATACAGCAAGCTTATGAACATAAATTGAGACATTTAAAAACTCAATTAAAGAAAAGATTAGTTTCCTATTAAACTTGTAACTAAATAATTTTCAAGCAATGACAAATCCTACCCTAATACTCTTCACACCTATATTCTTGCAAAATGTCATGAAGAACAATTATATTCTCAACAAATGATGCTCAAAAATAGTAAAACTAAGAAAAATAAGTAAGAAACTCATTAAGTTCTAGAAATATTCACATGTAACATATAACATTAAGTAAGAAAATAAGTATGGCAACAAATAAATAGGTACTAAAATTATCACAATATCATCAATTTA